AATTACGTAAGGATTTAGATTTATTTGCAATATATTTTGACATATCGAACATTGATATAGTCCAAAATGGGTATAAGTATTTTAACTAAATCGCACTAATTAGTCCGTGAAGGGCTTATTTACTCATGGACAATGTTATATGGTAGGCCGTGACAGTGACAGGTAATATTATGACAACATTGTTATTGTTTGACAGTTTGTATTATTATTTATTTAAAATGGGTTACACAGAAGTAGAAAATTTAAATATTATAGGAATTAAGATAGAGTAGTTAAGATATTCTCCATAGTTTATTTTAATTCCTAATAATATTTCAATTTTCTACTTCTGTGTAACCCATTTTAATTAAATACTAATACAAACTGTCAAACAATAACAATTTTATCATGACATTACTACCTGTCACTGTCACGACCTACCATATATAAGATTGTCCATGAGTAATTGGCCTCACACGGTCTAATTAGTGAGATTTACTTAAAATACCTATACGCATTTTGGACTATATCAATGTCCGATATGTCAAAATATATTACAACTAAATCTAAATCCTTACGTAATTGGTAAAAAGGCAGAAATGCCTGAAAGAGGTCTAACAATTACAATATGTCTTATTTTCTTAATAAAAAAACAATATTTCGTTTTTTAATATTATATCGCCTATTATTAGAGATGGTCCCAACAAACCCTATATGACTATGCTCGACAAGGAACGTTCTATCCAAATATGTAAAAATATACAGGGTGTTCCATTTAAATTAACAAAGTTAACATCCGCGGCCATTTTGTTTGAATTTAATTTGTTTTTCTACTATCATTTTCGAAAACATCATAAAAAATCGTGCAACTTTTGTATTTCACATTTGTTTTATAACTCTTAAAACAAAAAAGTTAAAGGGGGGGTCAAAATATAGTCAATCACCCTGTACAGTAAAAAAAAAATCATCAAAGTAAACTAAAGCCTTAAAAACTTAAAATAAATAAATCATGAGCTGGTAGAGAAACCACTTTAACCGCTCAGTTATTTGTCGAGAAACGAATTGAACGCATGAACGAAACGAACTCCAGTCAAGAACTTAAGACGCGCGTGATTTTTAAATTTCTCGATTTCTCGACACTTTTTTCTCGTCTCCAGTAAGGCCAGATTTCCCGGGAATTCTCGCTTCGAGAAGTCTCGACCAGAAACCCTATATTGGGGCAGATAATTTTGTAAAAAATGTGAACTTGTAGGATTTTTCTGTACTTTTTGCACAGGTATTCGAAAAATGAAGTAGGTATGAAATCTTCTTCATTATGGTCAACTTATGCGATGCTCAGAGCTACTTTCAATGTCTACAACAACATCGATATTGGAAAATATCTAAAATTACAAACATTCTTGTAACGCCAATCGGATGGATATCGTACTAAAAAGTTGAAAAAATATTTTCGATATTTTGCTATATTTTAAGTATGTATGGACCGATTGTTTTGAAAATTTGTAGTTTAACGTTTGTTGAGGTGGCAAGTACGAATATGCAAACAGTGTTGGAGTCACGTCTAGGGGGCGCTAGTTATACTGTCCTACCGATGTAAAAATATGGCTAACTTTTTGTATTTTACAATTTTGAATTTTTTAACCAGAAATTATTGAACTACGTTCAATTTTAAAAAAAGTATACTTGTTAGCAATTGTTAAACTCAACAGTTTTCGGGATACAGACATTTTAAGTTTTTGAGATTCGGCGGAAATTAAATTAGAAAATTAGCAGGTCATAAGATACCAAGCCTGAATAATTTTATTATGCATATCTTAACAAATTATTAATCATAAAGTTTTCTCAAAGCAACCACCAGCGACTTCAATGCACTTATTAAAATTTTGTCTGATGTTAAATAAAGTTCTATGTTGTTTGATAATATAAACTGATTCTTGAATATTTGTTCACAGTTATTCTTGACTGTTAACAATGTCTTTGTAAATTAGAGATTTAAGATAGCTCCAAAAGGAAAATCCAGCGCATTTAAATCAGAGTTACGTGCAGGCCAAGGTACATACTTTCCTACCGCGTCCAATCCAACGGTGCGAGGAATTTCTATTAATATATTCTCTTACTTCTTAATTGTAAAATACAAAAAGTTACAGATGTTTTTACATCGATAGGATAGTATAACTAGCGCCCCCTAGACGTAACACCAACACTGTTTGCATATTCGTATTTGCCACCTCAAAAAACGTTAAACTACAATTTTTCAAAACAATCGGTCCATACATACTTAAAATATAGCAAAAAATTGAAAATATTTTTCAACTTTAACACCCTGTAGAACGTAAAGGAGCAACAAATTGACCAAGGCATGTACATATATAAATTAACTATCTTCATAGTTTTGGATAGCTACGATATATTTTTTAACACCGTTATTGGTTTTAATTATTTTTGAATAAATACAGTATGTATTATCAATTTCTTTAGCGTTAATATTTAAATACATTCAAAGCGTAAAAGAAAACAATTATTTTTTTCTTAAAATTATTACGGACGTTAAGGACAATAACCTGAGTAGCTGGAAATTATTAAGCAATTTTCATATTAAAGTGTTTCAAGAAGTATTGGATATCGATTTATTTTGTATCCATAAGTTTGAGATGCCTTTATAGTTACTCACGACACTTACGACTTTATCATCAAGAGTAGTCTAAAGCTGTTAATTTACAAGAGGTTGCTTCCTTTCCAATCTTACGCCTCATTTATCTTGGTTAACTCAAGTAATTCCTTCGTGGTAAACATACAATGTAGTGAACTTTATTAAAAATAATAAGGCGAAGACTCTCTCAATACTATGTACATTTCACGCATTAAATAATAAATCATCACATTTGAATTACACTAAGCAACAGCGAATCGAACTGCAAATTCTTAATTTCATTTAAAAAAAATTACAAAAAGAAAATTGAAATCTCCAGAGAAACAAAAACTTGTTCGAGTTCTAGTATCAACACGAGAGATATTTTTTAGTATTTTGGAAATCCTATTTTTCTGACAGGATCACACTCATTGCGCCAATTTGTCGTCAGTATACGTTGACCCAGTATTTATGGCAAGCTGTAATTACTGCGATTAGCATTGGAGTTTTATCATGCGATTTGGTGGCGAATCTAGGACCATTTGAAATTTTAAATGTGGTGCAGGTCGAAATGTCAGAAATTGATGTTAATTGTTCAACCATTAATAACGGAAGATAATTGAGTTCTAATTTTGTGAGTGATAAGGTTTCCATGCTTATTAAGCTATTATTAGTGGGGGTTGATGTTACGAGATTCTAAATATAACGTTATGTAGTGTGTAACGCCGGGAAAAATTGGATTGAAAGAAAAGTGTAATACTATGATGTCCTCAGTATTTTCAAATCCATGTAGATAACGTTTTTTTCCTCAAAGTATTTTCAAATATCTTAATAATAACCAAAATTTGCAAATTATTAGTCCCAAAACAGAAAACAATCGTACATTTTTTAAAGTTTCTTATTTTGTAATCGTGAATCATAGAGTATACTAAAGGGTGTTCCAAATTTCACGTAAGAAGTAATTTTGACTGAAAACATAGGTTTTTTAAAAATTGTATTTTCTTTTATTCCTAGAGCTTCAGATAGGGTTATGTATGGAATAGCATATCAGCTAAATGGCCCCCACGGCTTTGTTGGCACATACGCTCTCCTTTTGTCGAAATTTTCCATGACCATTTTGCATAAATGGGACTGAATTTTGTTGATACAGCGTTCAATTTCCTCGTTCGAGGCGTGGGTGATCGTGAGCTTGTTGACATAAACCTTGGACATCAAAAAAAAAAAACAAAGAAAAAAGTCTAACGGCGTTAAATCGCATGATCTGGGAGGCCAATTCTGATCACCAAAACGGGAAATTACACGACCAGAAAATTACTCATGCTCATGCAGTAATTGAATTGTTTCTCGAACTATGTTATGTGGCGCACCGTTTTGTTAAAACCACATGTCATCTACATCCATATCTTGCAATTTAGACACAAAAAAAACTGGATTATCATGTCACGATAGCGAGCACCATTAATGTTACTGCCTGACTAGCCGTATTTTCTAAGAAGAATAGTTCGATGATGGCTCCTGCCCAAAATCCGCAATAAACAGTGACACGGTGTTGATGCATTTATTTCTCAATCACTCGTGGATTTTCTAAACCCCAAATGCGAAGCCATCAAGATGAAAATGAGTTTCCTTGCTGAAGATGATTTTGCTTGAGTCAATTGTACTGAATCTGTGAATCTTTCGTAAGAATAGGTAGGTACGCTGATGTAGAAAGCTTCTCAAAATGTCCAATTATGGGCCACGGTGCTGCATTGATGTTCCTTGACTCTCAGCAACACTCTCACGAACTGTTTCGATGATTTGCGTTTAACGACTTGTTGAAGAACGGCCACAGTGTTTAAGATCACCAATTGATCCATTCTCTCTGAATTTTTCAATTAATTTTTTCACAGTTGATGAAGTTAAACAAGTATTATGACTATATATTTTTTTAAAAATGCAGCTGCCAAACCTTCATTGTTTTTAAAATATTGCGCAACAATGAAAACGCGTTGTTCTTTCCATTTTTAATAACCCTGTACTATCAGTCATGTCACGCTGTCCTTTGACGTTAATTTTAGGACACCCGATATTTAAAAACAGCTTATACAGGATGTCCGGAAACTATAAGGGAACAAATTGAGGAGACTGTTCTATTTATTAATATAAAAATAACAATTATGTAATAATTATATTCACCTAAGTCTTTTGCTCATAGGTTTTTTAGGCTTTAGAATGTTTGTTGACTTTCTAGTTACACATTTCCATCCCATATGCATAAAAAAATGGACAGCCTTTTTTATGAGAAATAACGATGTATTTCTAAGAACAATCGTCATCTGTTCCAAACGAGTTTATAAGCTGATTATGAAATCACTACAGTTTCGAAAATTTATTAATATCACAGTTGTTTTACCTTTGTCTTCGGTAATGTTAAAAAACTTGGCCATAGGATTTCCCTCGGCGACAAGTCCGTATCGTATGTCTCTTGGGCTTCCCCTGTCGCCATCTTCAGCGTGTACCCTGAGGATTAGATCACCTGGAGTCAGACTTGGACTAAGGGTCGTGGTTGGGGGTGCTATGGTGAACACTGGTGGGGTATCTTGCTCGTCTTCGACTGCCACTAGTAAAGGCCATCCTGCTATGTTTCGGGTGTCTTCTTCTATATTTGTCCATGGGTCCTAAAAAAAACGTAAAAAAGATATTAGTTAAGTGCTGTAGCTAAAGTAATTAACAAGTGAGTTAGGCTATAAATATTTATTTCGATTAGTTTTGAAATTTCATAAAATAATTTGTTGCTAATTTATATTATAGTGTACAACTGGTTTACCAAATTACCATTCATTGTTTAGGTAATTAAATTTGTTAAAATCAAAATGAAATCTTTTATAATTAGAAATACATACCTTACTAAATTTATATTAGTTTTTATCCAATGAGATAAGTGTTATGACAAAGTAAAAGTGTAAAATGTGTCAAATGTTAAACTACTGCAATATAAAATTATACCGACAAATATATCCTATTTTTGAACTTGGAACATGGCATACCCGATTACAAATGTTTAAAATTTGTAATTACATTATAATTTGAAAACAAATGAAAATCGGATAACTTAATTTGAGTTTTTTTTTATTATTTTGATATGTAGACTCCATTCCTGAGTTTTGGTGTTTGACGATTCACCGACTCACCCAGTTATCAGCTGTTTCAACTCGATAAATCCGTGAATGATACTTATAATATTTTATATTTTTATTTTAAAAATAAGAAAAGTAAGGAAGAATATATCTGTAATTATTTATTTATGGCGTTTTATTAGCTTTTTTTTAATGGGGTGTCTCTGTCACATTGAAAAGAAAATGTAAATAAATAAATAACCCTTTGCACCAAAAGGGTCAGTCCAGTGAATATACGACCTTAATAATTTTTTTTTCTAAAACAACGAAAAATCATTATTTAAATTTTTAAAAGAAATGTATTTTTTGTTCGTTATAATTCACATTTGTTTACACGGTATTATTATCTGTTGACCTTAGATTATAATTATTTTACATTATTAAACACAATAAATTACGACGCTATAAAAAAAATAACGTAAACTGTTTAAATAAAAGCTTTGTCATCTCAGATTAAGTTTAAAACAAGATAAAAAAATACGATGGTAATTAATGGTTCATTGACATTCAAATTGAATTACCTACTTAGAGTATGTAAATACTTGACAATAATTTCAGTTGTTCAGGATCAAGCAATTACACTGTTTAATTTTATTTTAGATGGTTAAGTTCTACGAAATAATTATTTTTTTTATCATGTACAGGGTAGAATCAAATGAGGAGAATTTTCTCCTTTCAAACATTTTCTTGTATAGATGTTTACCCCTGCAGACTTCCTTATTGAGATACGGAGTGTTTTGAAATTAAAAAAAAATGTTTCGTTTCTAAGAACCTTCTGAACAAATATAAATATTGAAGCAAATTTTGTGTCATCAATGTATAAAAAATAGTATTCAAATTAAGTAAATAATATGAACTAAGAAATTTTTATTAATGCATTCCTAACATTACAATCTAATTGCTTAAAAAGTCGTTTCCATGACGATAGTTGTTTATTTATTATTGTGATAAAAGTGAAATTCGTTTTAATACCTACAAGTGCTAAAATATTATATTAAAAAATATTTAAAATGGACAGTGGTGATGATATTCAGGTGTCACCACCAGAGTTAATAGCAGTTGCCAAAAATGTGACTTTAAATTCATCACCAAACAAATTAGGGAAAAGTACGAATTCGCTTTACAAATACACGTGATATCGTTTCCATCGATCCTCTGTGACCATTTTGGTTAATTAGCATATTTAATCGCATTAAAAAGATTCAAACGTTGCCGACATAGCAAATAAAATATTTACAGGGTCAAAGATAAATTTGCTAATAGTAATAATATTGTCGAAGAAGAAATAATTAAAAGTAGATAATAATGTGAATTGTACAAACTACAACATAACTAAATACAGGTTGACTCAGAACTTATCCAAAAAAATAAATTCTGGATGTACAGGGGACCCTTACAAATACAATTTTGTAAAGAAAAAATCAAAAAGGGCAGTTCGAAATTGATTTAAAAATACACTTCTGCACGGCACTGGAAACTGGTCCACTGTAAAACCTGACCTGGCACAATGCGACCGGCATGGCGGTGTGATAAAAACGGACAAAAACTTTCGCAAGGAAAAAATAAATAGAATTTTATAGCACCTATTTTATATCGACAAATTCAAATGCTTTATTAATTACGAATAAAATTAATTTGTGTTTTTAAATAATAAATTCATTTGACATACCCGATGTTACAATAACAATTGTTCAAAATTTTATCCACAAACGTGTAAACACATTTGGTTCGTCTTACTCACTTTCTACGAACTAACACAAATGATATCTTGCTTCACCATAACACAAATGCTTCACCATAATACAAATGTTGTCTTGGTTCACTATAAATTAAAACGATATTCATCAACTCTGAGTTGCTATACACGCAAACCATTTTTGACACTAACTACTAAAAAACTGTTGTAAACACCACAGATAACAGGTAAAAACTACCGTAACGACGGATTTCAGTATTAGGAGTCATACGCCTCTCCACGCGTTTTGTGAATGACGCTACAGACTACAGTTGTCCAGCTATGTAGTGGTTGAATGTACTATAACTTCAATATTTTTTTCTCGGAAACTATAAAGATTTTACAAAAATTTTTTTACGTTATTAACTCCATTTCTCATGCCGCATCTATTCCCAATTTTTTTTTGGATAAGTTGTGAATCACCCTGTATAAACAAGTAATTATAATAAACGTTTAATATGTGGAATACGTTCCATAAATGTTATATTTACTAAATAATGCATTTTTAATGTGAGTTGGTTTGCCTGCGTGTATTTATGAGTATTTAATAGGTATATAAAATATATGACAATATTTTGACAAGCATGCTCTCTTGCAAGTTACTAAATCTCGCAAGAATACTTATTGCCCGTGGCTCACTTATAATAACAAGTTAATGCAAAATTTACGTAATAAGGCCTTTAAAAAGTATCGTCTATCCACATCTCCTGAGGGTTGGGCCTCTTATAAACAGTATAGAAATTTAACGACTTGTGGTATCAGGGCCGAAAAAAGAGCGTACCTTACTTACAAATTTCAAAACTGTAATGCTAAAGACAAATGGGATGAATTGAAAAAATTAAATATATGCAAAAGAAAAGATATAAATGTACCTGAAAATTTAAGGGATGTTGATAAGTTAAAAAAATACTTCATTGAATCATCATGCAATACTGTTGCGCCTGAACTAATAAATTTGTATAAAAATAATAAAATAGTTGATGATTCGTTTATACACTATAACTGATAATTTGATAATGCATATAATTAAAAATATGAAATGTAAAGCATTTGGATGTGATAATTTAAATATAACACTTATACCCGTTTTGTTGCCCGTATATTATACCTTTTAATGCATGTATAGATCAGTCTTATTTTCCTAAATCCTGGAAATGTGCAAATATCATTCCTCTTCCTAAGGTTAATAATCTAACAGAGCCTACCCATCTTCGATCGATCTTAATTTTACCCGCATTGAGTAAGATTCTTGAAAAAGTTATGGAAATGCAAATTACTGCATTTCTAAATACCAACAATCTGGTTTTAGGCGTGGATATAGCTGTTCAAGTGCTCTTTCTGATTTGACTGATGATATTTTTAAGTCAAGAGATAATAGTGAAGCTATGGTACTGGTCTTGTTGGATTATAGTAAGGCGTTTGACACTCTTAATCGCGATATACTCAATTCAATTTTTCATTATATAGGTTTTACAAATACCGCAACACCGCTAATAACCTCATTTCTTTGTGATAGGAAGCAGCGAGTGTCACTCGATAATAAGTTTTCACAACCTCTTGTCATTCTGTCTGGTGTGCCACAAGGAAGTATATTATTGCCGTTGCTGTATTCTATCTACACTTTAAATATTATTAAATCGCTGGTTTATTGTAAATATCATATGTATGAGGATGATACACAGCTTTACTATTATTTTAATCCCTCTGAAGTAGTCCATGCTAACTTTAAGATTAATAATGATTTATGTAACTTAGAATCTGCGTCTAAAAATCATTTGTTAAAAATAAACCCAAAAAAATCTGCTGCCTTGCTTTTCTGTGGTAATAATATTAGAGCTAACTTACTGGACAGACTGATGATAAAAATTAATGATGATAATATAGAGTTTAAAGATTCGGCAAAAAATTTAGGTCTTGTTAATGATTATAATACTACTACTTTGTTTCGGACTATATAAAAAATTTTGTACACAGTGTTCCACCTACTACTTGCGGTGATATGAAGGGAAGGATTAGAGATGCATTTGCCACAATCATCCCAGATATCCTAAGGAATCTGAGAATATCATTTGAAGATAGAATAAGATGCTGTATTCAAGAGAATGGTTATCAATTCGAACATCTATTCAAATTGTTCTTTGTTTCTTCTAAAAGTAAAATTTCCGTTAATAAATATTTTTACCTACGACCACTACTGTAAATACTTAAAAACACACCGTCTGCGATCAATGTAAGATTCCTATTACGTACGGTAAAAAAATCGCACAGTTTTCCTAGCAACCGCCTAGCAACGGTCAATACAATACTGTTTGTATTGACCGTTGCTAGGCGGTTGCTAGGAAAACTGTACGATTTTTTTACCAAGCTGTGCGATTTTTTTACCGTACGACGTAATAGGAATCTTGCATTGATCGCAAACGGTGTGTTTTTAAATATTTAAAGTAGTGGTCGTAGGTAAAGTATAGTACGTAATACGTGGTGTAATGCAATTACGCACTCGCCGCTACGCGGCGTCGTGCGTAACTTTTCCATTCGTGCGTAAAATGCTTTTTACAACACTTATTACGTAATATACTTAATGATGTTCATAATTAATTTAATTCAGTTACGTACAACAAACATATTTATACAAAATTAATAACTTTTTATTATTCTGCATATTCTGCATATAGAATAATATTTTTTATTAGGAAACTTTCTTGAATATTATCATGATTGACGCTTTACCAAGCGGCAGATTTATCAGAATACATCAATCTTAAAGAGAGTACGGGAATGAAGCTGTATCGAAAATTATTTTGATGCATGGACGTCATTTTCTAAACGATTTAAATAAATTTTACTAAATGTATTATCACTACGAATTGCAACATTTGAACCAAAACGGTAAATGTTACGCAAAAGTCAAAACATTTCTAATCTAAATAAATTTACAATTCAAACATTATAGAACCAGCATATCTACGCCACTGGTATGAGCTGAGATTGCATCACATTACATGTTTCTTATTCTTCTATTGTACCTCAAAATTTCGTTTTAATAGCCCTATTTGTTCAGAAAATATTTAGAGACACTTTAACTTTTTTTTCAGTCAGGAAAACACGCCTTTATTTTTGACACATTGTAGTGTTATACCCTGTAAGCAATATAATAATTATTCTATTATTCTATTCTCTATCCGGCAAACATTTAAATGTTTTTTAATTTGATCGAATGAAAAATGAGTGAGTGAATGAGAAAAAATTTTTGCGTATTTTTAAGACATATTTTAAATTCATGTGGTTATATTTTCACAAATATTTAAAATATACCTGGTGTACGTAATATTGGACAAATCAAAAATATAATAAAATTCAATTTTGTGATTTTTACTGGTATCAAGATTATGATATTTTTTTTATTTTATTAAAGCAGCATATTATTGTATTAAATTAAACTAAAAACAATACTAACGAAAAAAATAAATACAATCAAATAAATAATTTAAAACTTAATAAATTCAAAGATGTGATATTAAAACTGTTTTAAAAAAGTATTTTTAATTGAGATAACTTTTAACTTTTTTGTACGTATTATTCTTATCTCTATCACTTATAAATTTCCATGACAATAAACATCATTGTCTTCGTCGATTTAATCGATAAAATCTGATAAAAAGTCAATATTATTTGAATTCCTCCGAAATAAAAATATGTAGGCATATGTACATATAATATGTAAGTATTTACGATAAAAATGTTAAAATTACTCTCGCTCTAGGCTAGGCGAAAGCTATGAGGCAGAAAAACTGCAATAATGCGGAAGGTAACAGTGTGCTTAGTAGGTACGAGTATACGAGGTAAAGAAAACCTGACTAAATTAAAATTTCAAATTTCTTAAATAATAAAGAAGAAAATCAACTGGTAGTATTTTTGACATCACAGCAAACTAAAATTATTACTGTGAACAGTCATTTAACGAGCAACCAACAGCACACTAATGTAAGAAGTGTACAGAATATGCTCTTGTTTCATTTCATTCTTTTAACAATCGAATGACATGTTAATGGTTTACGACATTTTTTCGATTAATATTTTCACATTGAGATTAATTTAATTTTGATACATTTTGTTTCACATTTGTAAATAAATTCCATTTCAGTTTCATAATTCAAGAATTTTGACCATATTCAATTTTTTTTTGTTTCTTTATAAGAAAACATTAAGCTAAAATAATTTTTGATAGAAGATGATCAAAAGATTAACAGTATTTTACGTATATTAATTATTGCTTACTGGGGTACACTAGCGCATTCGCCATTTTTTATCATATTAATATCAGTATTAGGGATACTCAGTTTTTTTTCTCTACTTGTAAATACTACACACTTCTGTAAAAATTAATGAAACAGTGTCTAAGGAGACACACAAAATAAATTATAAGGATAATTTATTTTTTAAATTATCTATAATTTTTATGGTTTTTGAAAAATTGTGTAAATAATAAATTAGTATTTCTTTAAAACCATTGCAGAAGGTATATTTTAGAAAATCAGCTTACGAATAAACATTTTCTTTTCCTAAAGTGTTTTTTATTTATTTCGTAAATTTTAGGTTGGCCGTGACAGGTAACAATCAACATGACAACTGTCACAGATTAACTACTAAACATTTTTCACACCTTCAGATTAGTTCCTTGTGGGTCGCTGCTCTAATAGAATCCGGTCATAGATGCTCAAATGCTTGCTTTACTCTATGCATACAATTTTTCTTTGTTGTTACTGGAGTACTATATACTCTATTTTTATTGTCTCCCAAATAAATTAATCCAGCACATATAAGTCTGGTGGGCGAGGCGGCCGTAAAAACGTTTCATTGTTGGCACTGGTCATCAAATAGTTGTTGCAAAAAATTGCTAATAGCTACATTGACAATTTATTGATGAATTAATTCAAGAAGTCGCTTCATCAAGACATTGTACAAGTGTAATGCACCAAATCTGCTGTCAAATAACTTCATGAATAATGAATACCAACCCAACAGATTTCCAGCCTCAGATCAGTAATATTCCCCCCCTGCCCGCTAACCTTTTCTGTTTCAGAGACAGCCAGGATCAAGAAACGAAGACAACGACACACACACACATACACACTCCCAATACCCTCCTTACCCCTCCCCTCCCGCGCTAGCCTAAGGGCCACCTTAGCAAAGCGCATCCCAGGCTGCATAGCCGCACTACCCTACCCAACCATACCACACATAAACATGACACTACCCCCGGGGTTTACACAGACGAGCCGGCGAAGCAAGAAGAGCGCCAGAAGAAAGGGCCCTAGCCGGCGGGGCCCAGCCAGGACAAAAGGAGGTCCCACAAAGCGCCTACACCGGCCGCATTTGCGGTCGGGGTAGACGACGGATGGGGCCCACCTACGAAGGCTGTCCAGGCCTACACGAGATGAGGCAGGATAAAGAGGGATAATCCCCCTCGATCCCAAATCATTGAGGCCAATTTCTAGCCATAGAATAATGGCGCGATCAGTAATAAGGTTATGTTATTGGAATATGTAAATAATTGTGTGGCGTCGTACTAGTTTTGCATTGTTTTTACTGATTTGTTACTTACAAAAACTAATATTTATATAATATGTGTCAAAACGGTACCGTTGTTGTATCACTACAATTGTGAGTGGAAAGGTTGATTCGTTGGTAGAACTGATTCATGTGTCAAAAAACTTGGCAAAGTCTGTAGCAGTGTAAAACCACACTGTTTACCAATAAATTCGTGAATTAATTCATGAAGAACTTCGTCAATTTATTATTGAATAAATTGTCAATGTAAAACAGCTATAACAAGGTAACTGTTGTGAGGAGAAGAAGGTGAAGGCTGTTAGTGGCAAAATGTCCAATTTGCACAAAAAAATAAACCTGTGTATCCGTGTAAATTTTGCTGATAATCTGCATCTGTCAATTTTTACCTAAAAATTAAAATATCTCGGAAAGGGTCAATCCTCAGTATGGAGAGTGCTATGTTTTCAACTTAAAAATAAATGATCTTTCCAAAAATGCAATAATATACAGGGAGCTCCATTTAAAATAAGAAAGCTAGTATCAACTTCCGGTACAACCGGAAGTTCGATGACCTTGAAAATAATTTGGTTGGTAAGCCCCACGGCCCGTATCACACCACCACAATTTCAAACAAATCTTTTGAGCGGTTTCCCAGATATCCATCGATGGAGTTCGTGGTGAGACACCCTGTGTATTGTCACCTTTTCAGTGGATCGGTACAGCGGCGGCTGATGTGGTGGGGCTCTGGGTCGCTGCCCCCTTGGAAATTTTCATGGTACAAAATTAATCAATAATAGTTAAATTTAAATCATATTAGAGATAAAAGTCAACTGTTAATTATTATTAGTTTTACATACTCAGAATGGAGTCAAAAGTCACTCACTTTATAATTAGAAGAAACTCGGATTTGAGTAAAATTCACTCACTTCTGTTGCAATAGTTTTAAATAAAATAAATAAATAAAATAAAATTTTAGTTGTACTCATACTCATAGAGTGAAAACACCCAATCTGTTGTGGACAGAAATTGATACATTAACGAGTATTTAGTGAATTTGAGTGAAATTTTTTTCAGTGTATAGTTTCACTTTGACAATTTTAGAGCTTATAAAAATCATTTTAGGAAAAATATAGCTTTTATTTGTTTGTCTCGAAGTTACTCTAGGACCTGCATTACTAGTTCAATGTATAAGCAAGTTTGAAATAAATAATTCCTGAAAATTCAAAGAAATTAAACAAAGATACTCACGTTAGCTAAAATGGTCAAATGATGCACAGTCTTGGTCTCATAATCCAACGAACTCAGCAGCATAATGGTGCCCTCGGTGTCTCTATCAGTCACTTGCTTCTGGCGCAAACCAAACTGGGGCGACCCCCACAACTCTAATAGAACAGGCCTATTCCTATTCGGATTCCCCTTGGCTAGGATCCTGCCCAGATCCGTATTCCTCCTGGCACTTTCCGAGATCATCAACACGCTGGGCGCGCCTGGAAAAATCTTCTCCAGAGGAGTGGTGGCGTTGGTGGCTCGAAAAGAACAATCCAACTGCGCCGTTTCTCCTTTTTGGTTCTCCACCTGCACGGCGAAGTCGTAGAATCGGCCTATTTCAAGGGTTCTCCTGAGTATCACGTTGGCCTGACATACCGAATTGAACTTGGTGCAGTTGAGACTGTTCACGGAGACGGTGCCGAACTGGCCGAGGACGGTGAACACCAGAGGGTAGTCGAAAGAGGGGTCGGTCGCCCTCAACCTGTAGACGACGCTGCCGACGGCGGCGTCGGCGGGTATGAGCACGTCCTGGAGCAGGGCCGTGGGGTCGAAGCGCGGCACGGCTGCAGCCAGAAGGGGTCCGCACACGAGAGCCAGCCAGCGCATCGCGCACTGTGCCCGGGAAAAGCCGCCACTTTTCACACGCAACTCTGGAAATGCCCAATCAATTATTTCTTTCTGTTTTATATTATATGAGGGTAAATAGTCGTGTTTCGTGCAGGGTTCAAGTTGATTGTTGACCCATTAAATTTGCTTTTTTTTTCTTGTCAGTTTAACCAACCGCAGTAATTAAAGGAAAAGAAGATTATAATTGAATTGTACTAGGTGGCGGAATGGAGCCGAGTACGAAATGACCACCTAAAAAGGTTCTATGTCAAAATTTGTGAATGTTCTATGAATTTTCACTAAAACAATTTTATTTAATTTATTATTTATAATAATAATAATAATGTAATGCACCAAATCTGC